GAGGAGAATTCTTGGATCAGTCAGGTTTGCTGGAGCAAGGGAGACTTGGCTTCCCGTGGTCTGTTCCTCACTCCTTTCCGCTTCTCCCTGCTGCTGATACTGGGATGATGTTCGGGCTCTGGACATGAGAGCCCCTATTGCAGCCCAGAGCTCTGCTTCTCAAGGACGTTTACTGAAGGGGTTGGGGTGGTGACCCCATGTAGTGCATCAAGGCTGTGGAGAACCTCCACAGTCCAGCAAAAGGCAAGAAAATCTGCTTTTGCAGCACACGTTGCTGGTGTGTGAACGATCTAAAGTTTGACCGTTTCCCATATCTTTTGTCAGGGAATTTCTTTGGTTTCCCTTGTTTTCAGGGGGACACTTACAGCCAAGATGGACATTGTGATGGTGAAACCCTGTCCATGGGCTGAGGGGAGATGGAGGAGAGCCCTGCCTGCCCAATGGAGACTGAAAATCATTGAGCAAACACAATACCAGGGATCACTCCAGTTTTTCTGCTCTGTGTCCCTAGATGTAGCCCAAGATATGGAATTCCTGTAGCTCCAAGCAGGTGGGAATGTGCCCTTATGGGAAGTGGAAATTCCAGCATGTGAAGGAAGTATCGTGTGAATATGGAAGTGGCCTTGTCCCCCCTGGATCAAGATAATAATCAGAGTCCAAATCAAAACCTTACTTTTAATTTGGCAGGACAATTTTGAAGTGATCTGGTTAATTTTGTCTTGAGCAAAGGTGCTCCAAAGGGACAGGTCAAGCATTTAAAATGTGTTAGGTCTCCATGGGAATGTTGTTGGTGTGGGTGGAGGGAACAGAGGGACCATTTTTGGATCCCTTCCTCCTTTCCCAACCTCCGTGTTTTACATGGAAAATCCTAGGTTAAAATTCACATTGGAAGCTTAGCTATGGGACTGCTCTAGACTGTGGCAAGATAGAGCAAGTTATTTTATGTACGGAAGTGCAAGAAAAACCACTACAGATCAGTGTTTTTTTCAGTCTTACTAGCAGCAGTGTGTTGTGCTCTTATGGCTATTTAACAATACTGCCTGATTCAAGAGAGCTTAAAAAAAAAAAAAAAAAAGGCAGGTTGCTGTTTCTAATAGAGGGAAAAGCTTTCCTAAGCTTGAGACTAGTTTTGTCTCTGTTTACCTCAGGCTGGTGTCATCTGAGCAGCTCCTGCCTATGCATGAGACCTTTCTGTGCCTTCCGTGAGGCTTTTTGGCTGGAAATGTAAAGAATATGGAATGTGTAGCTACTTTTAAGAGAGACAGAGGCTTTTATCTTTGCAAAAGTGTTATTACGCAGTGTGTATTATTGAGTTTTTCTTTCTTTTCACAGAAAGAATAACCCTTTTCCCGTTCTGAAAGGCACTAAGCGGGACGAGGGGCTCTCCCGGCACGCCGAGGCCGTTGTGCGTCCGTGCAGCTTCCTCCCCGCTGCCGAGTGCTTCCGAAACGCTCCCCGCAAACCTCTCACCAGAGAAGAGCTTGAAAATAGGAAGTGAATTGTGTCTCCTTATATGCAGCTAGCTAGGTGTGAGGGTGGGCAGGAAGGGGTGTTTTTAGAAGGATTTTTGGATGAGTTTCTGCTCTGCTCTGTGCGGAGGGAAGGGCAAGTGAGCTGGATGCAGCTGTTGAGCGACTGACTGATGCGGACCCGTTAATTCTGATTGAAAACCCGAGAGACCTGGACAGGTTGGAGAGTTGGGCAGAGAGGAACCTCATGAGGTTCAGCAAGGATGCAGGGAGGACGGGGCCAGGCTCTGCTCGGTGCTGCCGCTGCCAGGACAAGGGGGAACGGCACAGGCTGAACCCCAGGCAGCTCCATGTCCGTGTGAGGAAGAACTTCCTTGGTGTGAGGGTGCCCGAGCCCTGGCACAGGCTGCCCAGAGAGGCTGTGGAGGCTCCTGCTCTGGAGATCTCCAACCCGCCTGGATGCGCCTGTGTGCCCCGTGCTCTGGGTGTCCCTGCTGGAGCCGGGGCTGCACTGGGGGGTCCCTGGAGGGCCCTGCCAGCCCCAGCCCTTCTGGGATGCTGTGAAAAGCTGCTTCACCTCACATCACTCAGCCTGGAGCACGTTATAAATTAAGCGGATTATAACGTAACGCACTTTCCGATTGGGATAACGGTCAGCTGGAAGAAGCAGCCCTCGGGGTTATAAGCACTCGATGTTCTCCCTGCCTGTGTTGCTTTGTGAACAACCAGCAAATAAACGATTGGGTTTATTGCTGGTGAGATGATTAAAGCCTCTTCCAGGGGTTGAATCATTATGTCTGAGAGTTGTTCGTCTCCTTGGGAAACCCTTTTGCGAGTGTCCATGGCTTATGCCGTGCGACGTCGCTGTGCTGTGATGCCCCTCTGCCAACCACCTCTGTCCCAGCCAGCCCCTGGGTAGTATTTACCATGGAAAGAGTTGCCAGCTTCATGTTGGAATCGCTTGTGTGTAAGCGAGGGGGAAAGCATCTGAAGTGAAATCATCCTGATATATAGTTGAATTTGTATAATCCTTGCAATAAAAGTGTCTCTTATAAATGGAAGGGATGGCAAGAAGGTCTAAACTGCTTAGTATGTGTTTAATTTGGAGTTTAAGAAACCTTAAAGCCAACCTTGCTCTTTCAGGCCTGCTGTTTGCTTTGGTTTCCTACACTATATTCCTGAACGTCCCCGTATTTCGTAGCTGAAGTGGATCAGAGGTCTGACTTGCTATGGCCTCAGTGCACATCCGTATGTCAGCACGGCTTCTTTTATGTATTTATGCTCCAGAAACAGAGCACGCTGTGTTGCAAAGTTATAAGGAAATGTCCTATTGCCCACTTGTTTCCAGCCAAACTTTTTTGCTGTCCTAGATTTGCAGTCTTGAAAACCTCCTTGCTGGCACAGAGGAGTCCCCTGAATGGATTCTGCTTGCACTGTTGTCCCAAGATCGGAGAGTTTCTTTTGAGCTTCATTTGCAAAAATAACTTTGCATATGAACTGCTCCTGCCTTAAACTTTCATGTGCACTTGCACAATAAATCTAATAAAGAATTTAAACATACAGCCCCCTAAAAACTGAGCAAATGCAAGTGCTCCAAGCCTAACGTGTTTTTCCCTTAGTGAACTCTGGTGTTTCATGCTGTGCAAAGCAAGTAAGTACTAAGTTTCCCCTCTTTGTAATTAGAAGAAAATGTTCACAGGCAGTAACCAAAATCCCTGTCAGAAGGTAAGGCTGCTCAAAAAGGTAGTCCTGGCACTCCTCTGTCACCAAAATAGATTTTATGTGTTCTTCCCAAGTTAGTCATAGAACAAGGCTTGGAAAGGGCAGCGTGCTCTTGCCACCCAGCCCTAGAGCAAGAGCAGGTATTGCTCTGTCCTTTCTTTCTTGCCTGCAACACCCAGGTTTTTATGGATGAGCTAGTGTGATTACTCACAGGGAGGAGCTCTTGCCCTAGAGAGCCGTGTTTATCAGAAATAGTGGTTTACTTGCCCCTTGAGATAGAGGTGGAGAATCAAACGGGGTGTATTTGAACTGTGGGAATGGAGCAGGATGATGGTGTCCGCACGGAGCACGAGGAAACTCGCTCTGGAGATGGACCCGAGGGCGATGCTGGGTCTTGCTGCTCGGAGGGGACCTTCGTGGCCGGAGTGTGCTTTGTGTTGCACATGTTTATGCCCTTGGATTTCTGATTGTCTCTGAATATTCATAAACTTTATTGCTAATTAAATATGGCTGATGTGAGGCATCTTCCCTTTTATGCATTGCTTAAGCTGGCCTGACTAATTTGTGTCTTGCTGTAATGAGTTGTCTCCCCTGTCGCAGTTGGGAAAGCCATAAGGTTTGGGCACAGGAAGCCAGCGGAGGCTTTGCAGGGCCCTGGGTGATTGCTCTGCCTTTAAGGACAGCTTAAGGCTTGTTTTTGTCTTCTGCCTCTGGATTAGGGAGCTGATCTGTTTATCTGAGGAGCAACCTTATGCTTCCTAGCTGTGGCAAGACTTGCATTGGAAAAAAATCACCAGGGGATGTTCAGGAAAGAATAAGAGATAGAGGATGAGGGAAGCATCAGAATAGCTGAGGCTACAGACTTCTATTAACAGTTATTGATACTAATTTTAAGATTTCTGGCCTGTGAACCTCTCCAGCTTGCTCCTCTAGTATCCCTTCTGTTCACTGTTGTGAACCACATGCTTTGTGTTTGGCTGGAGATGGTAAGAAATAAACTTTCCTCTGCCCGTCTTTCCCAGAAACCTGCTTTGCACTTCACTTTCAGGCACCAGCGTAACCATTTGTATGAGCTTTTTGTGTTAAAAACCAAATGCAGGTTGGAGGTGCCCAGTTCCAAGACCCTCACCTCAGTTAGCCCTTGGTAACCGGCCTGGCCCGAGGCCTTGTACTCCGGACACCAAGCGCCTCAGAGTTGGTTTTAGTGAGCCGTGTGTCCTGCCTTAATTTTCCGAACCGTGGCTACTTACATTCCCTCCCGCTTGTCCCAAGCGAAAACAACTTTCTTTAGGTTGAGCTGTAAAGCTCCTGAAATCCCTTTGGGGCCTTAGTGCTGCCGGCAGCCCGCGCCCTCGGAGCGAGCGCGTTGCCGTGGGCGGCCGAGCCCTTCCCTCAAGGCCGCGCTGCTGCCGCCCACGCTCGAGTCCTCGTCTCTGGCTGCGTGTTGGTGTCACCCCAACGTGTGGCTTCGTTCTGCCCCTGCTGAGCTGCTCTCCCTTCCCTGCAGGCCGCTGGGCTCCCGGCGCCCATTGCGGTGGGTTTGCTCCAAGCGCCTCTCATGGCAGCGGTGGCCGATGCCTGTTCAGCTGCTCCTCGTTTTCCAGTTGTGTTTTCTGCCCTTTCTCCTAGGGGCAAGAAAAGTTGATCAAATTCCCTGCAGATTTACGACAATATGTGTGGTGTCTTTTTTACCTTCCTTCCAAGGAGGTTCAACACAGAATGTCTCAGCATCGCCAGCATGCTTTATTTTCCTTTATTTATTTATTATCCCACGAAGAATTGCTTTCTTGCTTTCCTCCCCGTTTGCAGGCGGCCGCGCAGCGCATGCCGGCGTCTCCTCCGCCCGTGCCGTGCTCCGGGATGGCAGCGAGGTGACGACGCTCGAGGATGACCCTGACTGAAAGGCTGCGCGAGAGGATATCGCGGGCGTTCTACAGCCACGGGCTGCTCTGCGCCTCCTACCCCATCCCCATCATCCTCTTCACCGCCCTCTGCATCCTGGCCTGCTGGTGAGTCCTGCCCAGCGCTTGTTTTTTCCCCACGTTGTTGCTGGATTCTCCGTCGCCTGTTAGCGGAGCTGTCTTAGCAACACGGACGTGCTCAGGTTTCGCTGTTTCGTGTGCTACCCTGGAAGATACCATTTTTTTACAAGCTGGACTGTTGTCATCCTTTTGTGTGAGACTAAAGAAATGACAGGGATGAAGTATCTTGATGCAGTTAAGTAAATAGTAAAAAATAATCAAGTAAGTGAAATAAGTAAAGCAGTAAGTAAAACACATAATCACTAACCACCTAGTGGTGCACTCCAAAACCATAAATTAAAGATGGGGAGGAGGAAAGTTGATCTTTCTCTCCATTCTTGTATATTCTGTTCTCCCTGAAGCTTGTGCTCTTCCTTTTCAGCCCTTACCTAGGTGTGCGTATGCTGATCATCCTTATAAATTCTTCCCTTATGAACCCCTAATTTGGACACGAGTTGCAGTTAAATACGTTGTCACAGAAATATTACTTGAGCCTCTAAATTACTTCCAGTGAGGCATTGTTGCTCCTGGCATTGTGAAAGCTTTTGTGCTCAAATCTATGTGTAGGCACGTGCATACCTGTACGCAGGCAGGATTAAACAGACTGATCAGTCTCCTTTGGTCAAAGTAAAACAAAGTAAAACATGCTGTTAGAGCTTCTCTAACAGTGTTGCAGTAAATGTGAACTTAAATTTTTCTTTGGCCATCGCTCAGCATAAGGCACTTTTTTCATGTATATTAAAAATGCAGCTTTTTGCATGTATGTTAAAAATGCAGTCTTGGAAACCTGTAGGGTCACTTCTCCTGCATGAGCAGGAATAGTGGTGGTGTTTTCCTGATTTTGCACAGCTGCATATGATTCCATGTAAATATTTAGTTTTTGTTTAGTTTTGTTGTTTTTTTGTTCTCAGCTCCCATGTCCTAAAGGAAATTGGAAGTTTCTCCAAGGTCCAATCAAGTGGGTTTTAAGTTCCTTTAGGCTGATGTGGTTACAATCAGCAGCTGTGTCTCTTCAGCTCCGCTGGATGCTGTTTTCAAGTGTCAAGTCTGCTGCCCTGCTGCTTGGGAGCCTGCTGCCTGCTAGGCCAGGGTTTGTACCCATGCAGTGTGGCTTTGGTCTTGTGTTTGGAGAAAGTTGAGTTAAAGTCTCTCACCAAGTGCCTGAGGCTTCAAAGCAGCTCTTGGCAAGGTCACTGCTCTGGATTTGTGGCAGTGTCGGCGTTACTGGCGTTCGGGGACTCTGCAATTACAGGTTAGCTTTAAACTGCAGAAGGGGTCTCAAAAACACTGCCAAATGTTCAGGTAACCTTCACGAAGCAAATAGCTTGTTGTTCTGATGAGCTCCAGCACCTCATTAGCAAAGCAAATAATGACCTGAAGAAGGGAAGGTTTTTTTTAAATTCGGTGACATCCTTTGAGAGCAGGAGCACTCTGGCAAAAGCTCGAGTGCTACAAACAGCATGGCTGAGATTCTCCCTTTTTAAAAGCTGGACTGTTTTGATTTGTTGGATTATTTCAATTCCTGTGCTGGTGTTAATTGATATGAGCTGGTGTTAATTAGGTGTGGCAGTGCTAATGAGGACAGACCTCATCCCGAGCACAGCTCTTCTACACCCCAGCCTTTCCCCATGGTAAGACTGAACCCTTCCAGGATATCCCAGCACGGGATGCTCCGCAATATTGTCCCACCACTGAGCCTGGGATGCTCCACTGATCCTGCCGCCCAGGCCAGGTTGGGTTTTGGGCTGCTGCTGTTGTGTTTTGGTGGGAGAAAGGGCAGGTTTCCTGCATGATCCTGTGTGTGTGGAAATGTCCCCAGCACTTGGAAGTGTCCCCACGCCAGTGACACCAGAAAAAAAGGGGTCTAGTAATGAAATTTAGCTGCTGTCGCTGCAGAGACTGCTTGGTTCGCTCCGAGTAAATGCAATTGATCCTTGTTTTTTTAATCCAAATTAAATAATCGCAGGAAGGATGTGTGTATTGGCCAGTACATAGAACTTTTCTCTAAGTGCCAGATTATCCCAGACATACCTCCGAATGGTTTCTGGCCAAAAGTGGACTTCTTGGAAATCTGGGGCTGCAGTTTGTATGATCTTTAGTCTGTGAAGTTTATAAAGGACAAACACTTCTAAAGATACATTTTCAAGCTAGCTTGCAGTCCGTTCTGTTTGTGGTGTTTTAGCAAGGTGTTAGGAGTGTTCCTGCTTTCCACCCACTTCCTTCCTGGAAAGTGTTTTATTTTTTTAAGCTGAAACTCCAAGGAGTGGTGCTGTAGGGAACACGCATCCTCCATATCAAGTGATTTGAGAGTAACTTCTGTTTTCTCAGGTCTCCATAGGTTTGTAGCTGCAGTCCTTACATTTATTTTCTGTTTTACAGGAAACAAGCTCACTATACCTGGTACAGTGCAATGAGACCTTATCATCAGCTACAGTGTATGCAGGTTCCTTGGCCTGTGCTAGAATTTGGCCCTGGAGCAAGACACTCAACTTCTCAGGCTGTATACACTGCAATCTTTCAAATATTTGCATCTTTCCATCAGTTCCAAGAAAGCTTTATAGGTTGGGAGAGGGGGAGTGCCAAAACCCAAGAAAAGGCATTATTTTGACATTTTAATCACAGAGGCTGCATCTATAAAACAGCATAACAGGAAGACAGGAGTGATTAACAGTCACCTCTATGACTGCAGGCAATAAAAGAGGTGGGGCAGGAAACTTCAAACGTTTTGGGATCATTCATCAGGAATACGAGTTGTGGATAGTACATTAACTTGCTGGAGGTTAGAGTTGAGTCTTGGAGCTCACTTATTCCCCACATACTTGCCATATTTGCCCACTTTTTAGGAGGCTGTTGGCCATGGTAGGATGCAAGTTACTGGCCCAGGTGGGCCTTTGGTCTAGCCCAGCACAGCTAGCTGGATCGGGAGCTGTTTTAAAGCTGCATCTACCCAACCATCCTCCCAGAATGCAAAAACAGCAGTTGTTGGAGGTGTTCAGTGGGGAATAGGGTGGGCAAGAGCCGCTGCGTGAGCTTTGGGCATAGGCAGGTACTCGCTGAGGGCCACGCGCTGCCACGTGTGTCCCTTGTTCCGCAGTCGCCTTGCAAGGATCTGAAGCCTTGGACACCACCTTGCTGCTGGAATTCGATTTGCTTTGTGCTCCTGAGAAATTTCCACTTTCTTAGGGCAAATCTGGCTGGTTCATCTCATCCGCCCGCAAGGAGTGGGAAGGGCTGAAATTTGGTCAAAGGGGCCGGTGGGGAAAGCCAGAGCCTGGTTTCAAGACAGAAGTTGATTTAGGCAACATTTCTGTCCAAGGTAGAAGAGACCTCCAGCTCCGGCCTGTTGTTTTGGCATCAATTAACGTGCTGGTTTTTCCTGTTCAAGGGAAAATTCAGGACTTAACACCCAGGTAACACAACCAACTTCGGAGCAGCTGCTCTTGCTTCAGAATATCTCCAAAGCATAGCTTATAGGGTGATTGAATTTATTTCCATCCTATCTTTAAACTTCAGGTGTTCTGTGTAGGCAACACTTTTAATGTGACCTATAGATAAGACATGGCATATTGTTTTTTATTAATAAACTAATAAGCAAGCCGAAAGCAAAAGATACCTATGTTCTTGCTCTGTGGTCTTAATTGAAATCTGAAAATCCAAGTGTTATCATTTCTTCAGAACACGGTTTTCTGCTGAACGAGCTGTTGACAGGGCTTTCTAGTGAACTTCTTGCTTTGCTGCACATCCTGGTGTGGGCAACATTCCTTATGATCATCCATTTAAATGGATTTACGTTAAGAAACATTCGTGATCTTGCAGGAACAAACCTACCTCAGTGCTTTTTTTTCCCAGCGAAAGGAGGCTGCTGCTGAAGCCTCTGCTGAGTCCTTCCTCCCCAGCTCTAAGAACAACAGAAGAGGAGGCATATTTATAATCTGAGAGATTTGGAATTGTTTTTATTTAAAGCAGGAGCTAAATCCAGCAATTGACTGTATGAAGGAGGTTTAGGAGGGTTAACAGGGTGAGTCTGTGGGCACTCATTCTTTGGTTGAAAGATTAGGTTCTGCTTCTGAATTTTGGAATTGTCTAGAAGCAAAAGCCACTTTTTTTGCGTGTGCATTATATTTTTTTTTCCTAAAAGAACATTTAGTGTCTTCCAGGCTTGTGTGTCTCCTGTGCCAACCAAAGGTGCTGAGTTTCCAACAGCCTCTTCACGCTCCGAACGCACGGAGCAGAGTCTCCTGTGGGAGGGAATGACGAAAGGAGATGCAAGTCCTGTGCGCCGAGAGCTCCGTTCTGCTGCTTAGCAAAAGCAGACGGGCAGCACGGAGGCAGGGAGGAATCTTTACTTTTGCAATGCAATTTTTGGAAGGTCCTGCCAGCAGGAAGCGGCGCGATGCAGCCTTTATTGGGAAGCAGGTATTGTCTGTGCATTTAGCAAGGCTAAGCAGGGGGCTGTTGCTGCCAAGTATCAGGCCTGCTCTCCCCACTGCCAGTTACTCAAATACAAAAGGTCTGTGAAATGGAAACTCAACACAAATTGCATCCTGCTTTCTCCTTAAATACCACCTAGATTTCACGGGAAAATCCACGGAAGTGAACTGTAAAGTAAACTGCCGAGTAGCTTCTCTGTGCTGAAGAAGAAACAAGACTCTCCAAAGGAAATTTTGGACGTCTCGTTAGCGATGAGTTTTCAGAGTGCATCATTTAACTCTGGCTGGAAATGGGCTAAAATCTTCTTCCAAAGCGTGCGGAATGAGGGTGGCAGCTGTTCTAAGGCAGTGTCACCACCATCCCCATCCCCTGCGGCCCGGCCGCGCTCCGCTCGCCCTTCCTCGGCGTTGGCGGCAGAGACAACTCCGGGACACCGGAGAGCTCTGCCTGGAGCCCAGGTTTGGCCGAGGAATTTGCAGGTCCAGGCTTTGCAGCTGCTGCGGGCCGGCCTGGCAGCCCTCCAGCTTGGCCCTCGGAGCTGTCTTGAAAATATGTAAAGTAGTTGGATGGACTTTTATTTTATTTTATTATTTATTTATTTATTTATTCTTTAACCCACCTCTAAACCAAAATGTGCTCTTGCTTGAATTCAGCGGTAGTAACTTGTAGATGATCCCTTTTTCCTCACCTTGGGGGTTTTCAAGCGGGTGTCAGGACGCTCTGAGTGTCTAAAAAATTCCTTTTCAAACCCAAATTTTCCTTATGGACTTGCTGGTTTCTGTTTTAGATCCTACTTCTCTCAGTTGCCTTCTGGTGTTCAGGAACTTTCTTTGTCCAAGAAATCTCTTAAACAAGAAGTGTGGTTTTTATCATTCAGTTTTAATTGTCCCTTCCTGCAGCTCCATACAGAGCAGGTCTCCTGCGTGGTAAGAAGTGCTCGGAGAGGTGACCAGGCTCGTTGCATCTCGTGGTCCTCGTGCTGTCTGGGTCCCGTGGACACTTCTGAAAGCCCAGCGGGAGCTCTGGGTTTGTCACTTAAGTATCTCTTAGAGCTGCCCTAGCATTGCTGGTAAATGCAGCAAATCTTTCAGTACTCCCGGGTTCTTTTTTCTCTCTTTTTTTTTTTATTTCTTCTGCAGTCTGTCTTAGATATCGCCAACTACATCCATCATTATTGTCTGCCTCTCTAAGGCTAACTAAATTCTCAAAGTCCTGATATTTTACTGAAATAACTTAGGTCAGGCATATAGCAGCGTGTGCGCTTTGTGTGCTCCTCCAGCAGCCATTCCTCAAACTTTTCATAAACACAACTCCTCAAATACTGCCGTGCTGAGTAGATCATCTCCTTTCTCCTACATGGACACATGTTTATGCTGGGGTTGGCTCAAGAACAGGGACTTTCTGCTAAGATTCCCAAGAACCAGTCCCAGTCTGAGCTCTTCTCAATAGCACAAGCAATACAGACCGTATCTAGATCCTGTTGTCTTACACACCCACGTTTAGCTCCTTATCACAGCTTCAGAGCGGGCTGTATTTTAAGACAGAGGTACAAGTGGATTCCTGGGTGGCCTTTTCTCTGAAGATGGTTGCTGAAAATGAGAATTGCACAAACAGCAGCAGCTTTTTGGTGCGTCACACACCTCCAGGAAGCCCCACTCCTGCTGGACCTAATGGCACAGCTCCCTGCAGCATCCGTACCTGCAGAACGGGCACGTGGGAGCACCAAAGACGAAGACACCTACGAGAATGGGTGCAAAAGCAAGCATGAAAACGAAGCAGTTTGTGCTTCTGGGTGGCAGCAGGGCTTTGGTTGAGTTAGCAGCCCCAGGGGAGGAAAGGAAACTGAAGGAGACTTGCAGAAAACTGTAGACTTTGGAGGGAAAAATCTAACACCCTTTAGTGCCCGGTGAGGAAACGGCCGATTTTCCAAGCAACTGGCAGCACTAGCTGCTGCTGTAGCAGAGTGACACCATCAAAGTGCATCGTGGAGGGAGCTCTGCGGCGTTAATCCTGTTCCATATTCATGATGCCGGCAGCAGAAGTGAAGGGAAAGGCCGGGGTTGCTTTGGATGTCAGCGGCGCAGACGGAGCGCGGGCGGAGGAGGATGGATGGGCCTGGGAATCCTGGTTGTCCCGGCTACGCCGCCAGCCCCACGGGGTCCGGGCCTTAGCCAGGCTCACGAGTTCCTAATCTTTTTCTTTCTTTTATCAGAAACTTCCCTCTTATTCTTCCCCTCATTCTCTTGCCTTCCTTTATTCCAAGGAAGTGCCATTGACTCTTTTTCCCCATTGTGTTCCCATTGATTTTTTTTTTCTTTTTTTGGACAACTGTTTGAAAATCCAAATATGAAGGGGGAAAAAAAAAAGCCCCTTTGATCTGTCAGAAACAGCTCTTAAGGAGCGTGAGTTGCTGTGCTAAAACGCTTGGTATTTTGGGACGTGGCTGCTCTTTATTCACGAAGGTTTTTGCACTTTAGGGTGTGAGCAGTTTGCTGCTTCCCCTCCGCACAAAGTTAACCTCCTCCTCCACCCCCTGTGTTTTTATAGCAGCAGAAAAATAAATAACCCAAGTGGAGCTCTGCTCTTAGCTTGACTTTAGTGTGAAGGTATCGTCCCCTTCAGCTCTGCCTGCTGCTTTTATTCACCTCCCCTGTGTCCCCCTCAGGTTTTTTTCTTCCTGCCCACCCCCGGCTGACAAACCTCAGTTATTCTCCTCAAAGATATTTGTGAGGAGTTGTGTGAAGCTGGGTGACTTAAACCCGAGTCACTTGCTTTACCTATTTGCCTATTTTCTGGGCCTTCTGAGTCCCTTGATATTTTACTCATGTCTGCAGTGATTTGCAAGGACCTTTTGGCCACATCATATTTTATTTTTTTTCTCCCTTTTCCCTTTTTGCTCGTGATAAGGCCTGATTATTTTCTTTAGTTGAACTTCAGCCATTCCCCACTTGTTGTACAGCTTCCATAGCAAAAGCTGGGGCTGCCGTGAGCAGCAGATCCAGGTGCAGGAAGAAGCCAAGAAGGAGGCAATGCTGCCCCTCCATCCAGGGTCTGGCAACAGCCACCTTCCTTGGAGAAGAAAGGGTGTTATAGACTGTATTGGCCAAGAACCAATACTATGGAGCAACCAAGAGATACCTCCAGAGGCTACTGCTCTTTTTTTCTTTTCTTTTTTAATAAAAGTGTTCTTTTTAACAAGTCTCTGCAGTCTCTAAGCCAGCCCGTTAAGGTCCTTCCCAGCACCAGAAGGGTAGAACAGGCTCCAGAACCGCTTGCTGGGACGTGCTGCATCCTGGCACAGCATCAGCTCTGAGGGCCGGGCTCTCGTTTTGGCCCTGGAAATGGAGCTCTCCGACCCTTCCCAGCCCTTCCGTCCCCCTCTGCTCCCCCAGCAGCTCCTGTGCACCCTCCCTGATCCCCCGCAGCAGAAGGCAGCGGTTAACTTAATTAAATTTAGATCTCTCCTCCTGATGCCTCAGGGGCAGCGGCTGCTGCCAGGGGAATGATGCCAGCTTGGACAGGCTACCTTGCAATATCCGAGCTGCAAGAGGCTTTACAGCCCATTTTTCCAGCTATTTTAAGCTTGGTGCTGTTGCTTATTAGCAGTCTGCACAATAAGGGTAGCTTGTGTGCACGCCGCGTTGGAGATGCGTGGGTTACACCGCATTTGTGAGATTGGTGCTTTTTACAGCACGAGCTAATTGGGGTAGAGAGGATACAACTTGCACCCAGCCGCAGCTCAAGATCCTGCCGTTACTGGAGGTGGAATTGAATGTCTAATATATTTTTCTTCTCCCTTCATTTAGTTAATGCTGTTGTGAAGTGCAGAGATGCATATGCAGACAGGGTCCTAATTAAGAGCAGCTTCCTTGGAGTGTGGTCTGCTCCAGGAGGGAGAAGTGCTCATCAAACTCATCTTGTGTTGGCCTCTTGTACTGGTTTCAAACAACAACAAAAAAACCTCTTTAGCATAACAGATGAGCAGTGAAGACTGCACCTGCTTTATTAAGTATGAGAGTGATCATAACAGTTCAATTTCAGGTCATTTTTCTAGAATTTTATCTTTAACCATGCTATAATTAAGCTGAGAATTAATCTTGTACAGGTCGGCAGCAGCAGAACTTGCCCAAGGGATTTTGGGCATCCCAATTGTGGAAGAATCGGGGATATATTTGTCATTCCATGCTTGCACATAGGGTGTCCTGACCACCATCCTGATGCCTGAACCCCAACTTTGCATTTTGTACGTCTGGAAATGGACATGGTGATGCTCTTGTGCCAGGGCAGCTTTGCTGCAGGGAGGAAGAAACTTTCAGAAATACTCCTGGGCCTGAATCAGTGGTTCTTCAAAGTCATCCTCTGCTCATCAGGGCAAACATCTCTGTAACAGCCCTCTTGCTCTTCCCTCCAGCTCAATTCTGATGTGATTTTTATACACTTCATAGAAATCATTATACCAACCCCCAGATCTTGTGAAATGTTGATCAATATCGTGTTTATTGTGGGATAGCTGCTACAAACACTTAAAGATTGTGGTAGCAAAGTTAAGTGTTTCTACTCACTTTGATACCTCATTGCTGCTAGGAAAAGTGCTTTGGGGACCTGTGAAGTTTATGTGAAATCCTGGAAACTGTCGAAATCTCAGTGAGGAAACTTGGGTGGTTAGTATGGAGTCTGGGTCGGGAGAGTAACAGTCTAAACACAACAGTGAGTTCATTTTTGTGAAGGCTACAGAGCAGCTGAGAGGTCGCCCTGCTTAATCCAGTGCCATTAGCACCGGTGGCTTCTGTGCGATGGAAGGTGAGTGTGCCGAGTTCCTGAAGAACGTTCCCGAGGAGTTGCTCAGTTATCCTTTTCCAAATATCTTACCTGGGGAAAACAGAGCAGTTCCTGTGAGATGTGAGGTTGTATTGTATTGCAGCTGTGCCGTTTTTCCATATTTCATTGTTTTTTTTTAACGTTTCCGTGTTTCTCTCAGTTACCCGCTGCTGAAGCTGCCGCTGCCCGGCACGGGGCCCGTGGAGTTCAGCACCCCGGTGAAGGATTATTCCCCTCCTTCCACAGAGCCCGGCCACCAGCAAGGGGACCCCAGCGAGCGCCCCGACTGGGTAGGTCTCCTGCATTCCGGCTGGCGGGGACAGAGGGGACACGAGGCCTCGAGGCATCTCTTTTCCTTCAAATTCCTCTGTGTATTTCTTTAAAATGCCCTTACAAGCAGGCTTATTTTCTCCTGATGATGTAGCTGCTCTAGGCTTGCTTCCTATGGTCTCAAACAAGAGTGTTTCATTGAAATTTGAGTTGCAGCAACTGCAGATCCTGGCTGTGTAGCTGACTGCTACACTGTGACCTGGGGAATGTCAGGTTGTTTGAAGAACCTAATGAGTCAAGTGTTGCTTAGAGAGGGTTATTGGATTATTTTGTTTACCAGCTGGTAAATTGTGAAGGTAAACTAGACTTGCATCAGAGTAAGAGTTGAGTTTCTTTTGCATAAGCAAAGTGGAGCCCTGGTGCTTTCCAAGAAGGCTGATAACATGGTCTAGGACACCAAGAAACTATTCTAAGATCCCGCATTTTTCTTTATCCCAGTGCCAGTGGCATTTTGACCCTTGGAGGAACAGACTCCTTCTGTTCTTGCTAGGCTGCCACTGTCATATTTCACCTCCAATTTGGGTGAGAAAATCAGATCCTGGTAAGGTGCTCCTGAAAAGCTTCCAGGCTGTGCTCTGATCCCGCTGAGCAGCTTCCCGCTCACCGCGCTTTCCTTTTCCCTGGCTTTTCCCCACAGTATGTCGGTGCTCCGGTGGCCTACATCCAGCAGATCTTGGTGAAAGCCACCGTGTCCCCGTGGCAGAAGAACTTCCTTGCTGTGGATGTGTTCCGTTCGCCGCTCTCCCGTGTCTTCCAGCTGGTGGAGGAGATCAGAAACCATGCCCTGAGGGACAGGTAATGTTTGGGAACGATTCCTTGAAAGGCAGGCCGAGCCACCAGCACACACATCCACATTCTGACTCACTGCTCACTTTTAGCTTTGAAATCCTACATTTTTTAAAGTTTAAAGGCAAATGAGAGACCGCTGTTGATAAGTAATGTCATTCCCATCCTGCACATGGGTAGTTTAGCTTTCATGCTGCAGAACTTGCCTCCCATTTAGTCACTGACAGTTTTGAGGAGCTTTCCAGTGAAAGGCTTAGGCAGAGAGGCCTGGATAGATCCCCCCAGGCTCTACTCTCCTGTGGTCTATAATTCTTTCATAAACATCCAAGCTTTGCATTAAAACAAGTCATTAAAGCAACTTTGATAAGGAAGGCTCTGTATTCAGATTTTCCCCTGGTTGGTCTTCTCTGCGCTCTTCTTGTTCCTGTGTCATTCCTGAACATGAAAGATGAGAACTGCATGCAGCATTCCGAGTGAAATCTCCTTTGTGCCTTATTCTCCCTGGAAATGCCTGTCCTGCCTTAGTGAGGTTGTTGATCTCATTTTGTGGCCATTCACGGCAGTGTCACATACGTGGTTAGTGATGGATTTTCCAGCCCCCCATCACCCATTTCAGATATTCCATTCCTTTTCTGTATTAACAACATTTCTTGATTTTTGTGTCATTGGTGGGTGTCCCTTTATTTTATTGCAAAGTTGCAAAGTGAATAAAAAAAATCATGGTTCTCCTATCCATCCATGAGAAGTTCCACTTTGTTTTCTTCACGTGCAGTAGTTCCTCTTTCAGCAATCCTGTAATCATCTTCCTATTATTTCCTATTTTACTTCTATTTACCTATATTTATATTTATAATATTTATACTTATTTTACCCGTATTTATATTTATTCCTATTTTCGTATATTTTATTCCTATTTACATGCTCTAGGTGTCCTGCTTATGCAGGGGGGTTGGACTAGATGATCCCTCGAGGTCCCTTCCAACCTCAGCCATTCTATGATTCTATCAGCCAGTTCCTTACAGCCTTGCAGTTTCTGTATTAACACCCGTTTTTTGTGTTAACCAATGCATTTTCTGTGAGGCACTGGATCAAATGCTTGTCTTAGCCCAAGGAAATGAGAGCTATTGTGCTTTCCTTGTCTGTAAAATCAAATATTTTAAAAGAGCAATCAGATTAGTGTGGCCCATGCTACCTTATTCCACTCTTAAATCAAGAGTGCATTTTATACTATTCCTTTGCCTGTTTTTGTGCATTTTGTACTATTACTTTGCCTGTTTTTTAATATTCTTTCCTTCTGGGTCTAAATTCTCATCTGCTGTCAAGTTCTTGGCTCACTTTACTTTCTAAACACAGCAGAGCTTCCCTGCTTTTCTTCCTGTGCTCAGTGAGAATAATGATGCTGAGAGCTGAGGCCAAGCATGGAGAAAAACCGTGAGGATGGAGTTTTTGATCATCTAGTAGCTTTTTAGTGATTTAACAAAAAAACAAACCCAAACCCACCCTTCCAGGTAAGCTCAGTGTCTGCCCTCTTCCTGATCATTTTTCATAGTGCCATTCATGCAGTTAAATTTGGAGCCCCTTTTTTACGAGCTGATGGGGCCTTAGCACTGATACCCTTTCTCCAGCGTTTTCAGCTCATCTGCTCCCTTATCATATGCAGAATTTCAGGTGGTGATCTGTGTATATTTGCCAATTACAAGCTAGAAACAACTTCCTCCTGGTAGGTGTGTTGTCTTCTTATTAGCTCCCCTTGGTACGTTGCCTGCTGTGTTGTTTTGCTGGGTGGAAGCAAAAGAGAATGCACAAAGCTAAGAGAAACAAGGGGCTAGCTAATAATGATTATTTAGGCATGGGGACTTAAACCTTGGCTAAGGGGCTCCCATTTCAGTGGTCATTATGAAATGCCTTCTTGTCAGCTTTATTTTATAAAGTCATTAAATTTTATTTCTTTTTCCCTGATGCAACAAGTGCAGCTTTTTTAATGTGCAAAAGACGTGTTTTATGCTATGGTAGTAAAGGAATAGCTGAAGATTTTTGACAACTGCAGAGGAAACACTAAGTATTGTATTTTCATCAGCTCCAGAGCTGTTGAAACTTCATACAAAATCAGAAGTGCTGTGAGATTTTTAGCAGTGCAGCAGACTATTGCTTGATGGGGTTTTTTTTGGTATCCCCCTCTGCATCCAGAATACGCCGGTAGCTGCCTCCTCTCTCTGTCATCTGTGGAAGAACTAGGGAAAACCAGTCTCCTTAATCTTAATTTAGCCTTTGTTCCATATAGCATTCCCATGTAAAACTGCACCAGGCACTCTTACCACGTCGAGGGAAGTGTTCCCTTTTGGATCCACAGCTCTCGTCTAGCCAAGCCAGGAGCGCTGCCAGGTTTTGTCACTGAGCCTTCACCAGCGGATGCTATTGTAAGGCCAAGTTGAATCTTACTTGGATTCTTGAGTGATAAAGATCATGTCACTGTGTCAAGATGAACTTTGGAAACATAAGCACAAGTTCCAGGTCACGCCTGCTTTTGGTGTTGCATCTCCTTGGCTTTCTGAACCTGCGAGGCGTTTTCTTTTCCATGCAATGCAGAGGAATTCGGGAGATTTTGCAGTTGTGGGTACTTGCTAGACCAACTGAGTATTTTATAACACTCTGTTCCCCTTAAGGGAAGTACCCCAGGTGCCTGATTCATATTTGTGTGTTGTATCCCATGCAGCACATGTGGGAAGAGGGATAGGGAGGAGTCCAAGGTCTTCTAAGAATTGTGTGGAGCCACCCTGGGCTTGGTGCAGCGGTGACAGGCAGCGAGGACAGCAAATGAGGGCGCAGTCCCTTGGGTACCCGTCCTGCCCCTTGCCTTTCTGCGCTGCAACGTTCGATCTCTGCTTGTGTTTCAGTTCTGGGGTCAAAAGCCTGGAGGAACTTTGCCTCCAGGTGACAGATCTTCTGCCGGGCCTCAAGAAGCTGCGGAATCTGCTCCCCGAGCACGGCTGTCTCCTGCTGTCTCCAGGGAACTTCTGGCAGAATGACCGGGAGCGCTTTAACGCCGACCCGGATATCATCAAAACTATTCATCAGCATGAACCAAAGACGTTGCAAACATCGGCTACGCTCAAAGGTAGGAGGCCAAAAAGCCACTGAAGCGGTGAGGGATGTACCCACAGGTTGTGCTATTCTTTTGTCCTCTCTGTGTCCAGTGTCTGTAGGTTGCCAACATTACCAAAACGGGCAGCGTTTTGCGAATCTCAGCAGCTGGAATGAAACTACCAAATATGCTTCATTTCTCATTTTGCATCTGTGTTTGGACTCAGTTTTGAAGTTGCAGAAAATGAATAATTCTCTTCCCTCAGTCTCTGTTCTGTAGGAGTAAAAATAAGAGGCAACTTGCCTAGTTCTCCCTCTTCCTGTTCCTCTACATATGCTCTTTTCCTGGTGCTCTTGGAATGATTCGGACTGTAATATTCAGGGTGTCTTCTTGTCACAGGTGAATGAATATCTGTCGTGCTCCCTCTTGTCCTTTCATTCATACTTGCCTGCAAATACCACAAGTGGATTCTAAGTCTGCATTTTAGTGCAAAAAAAAATAACAGCAAAAGTATTTTATGGTCTTTGCAACATGGAGTCTTCCTGGAACCTCTGGTCCAAATCACACATGGACAGAAGTCTCAGCCTTCCCTTTTCCTGGTTAAGCAATCCCAACTCTCAGCCTCTCCTATACAAAAGATGCTCCAATCCCTTGATCAACTTCTTGGTCTTTAGCTGGACCTGGCCCGTTGCACCCATGTTCTTGCACTGTGGAATCCAGCACTGGACACCTCACTGAGCAGAGGGGGAGATCACCTCCCTCGACCTGCAGTCTGGGATGCTCTAGACCCTCGTGCTGCAGAGCACATGGTCAACTTAGCAGCCCAGTTCCTGCTCTTGAGAGCTGCTTTCTATCCAGGTCCCTTCCAGCCTCAACCAATCTGTCATTCTGTGAAAATGCTTCATGTAAGAGCAGTCTTGGAACATTCTTAGCAGTGAGCGCTTGTTTCCTCATCTTTTGTTGTTGTTTGTGTGTTGTTCTAATGCTTCGTTCCTGTTCTGCGTTTGCAGATCTGTTGTTTGGACTCCCTGGGAAGTACAGCGGGGTGAACCTCTACAATCGGAAGCGGGTGGTGTCATACACTGTCACACTGGGTCTCCAGCGTTATGATGCTAGGTAAGGGGCTTTAGCCGGGCTATTTTTACATTAGGGTTTCTTTCTTTGTTTCCTGAAAATGTTGCTGTTTGCTCTGATTATTCCTATGTTTTCCTTTATTCTCCCTTTTCTTGTATTTTAGAGTATTTTAATATAGAGAAGCAGAGCGCTATTTTGGGAAGGAAACTTGCTGTGTTTAATGGAGATACATTACTCAGTTCTCAGTTTCATTTTAGAGAAGTACATGTAATAGTCAAAGCTGCTAGTGGGAGTTCCTCGGGGATGGCTGCTCCTGCCCACGGAGCTGTCATAGCTGAAAGCCCCAGGCAGAGCCCAGCAGGTTTGTTTTTGATCCAGCTCCTGGTGCCTGCAGTTTGAGTGCTTTCCTTCCCAGTGAGCACTAATTCAGCTGGCACCAACTGTGAAACCCCTCTAGCAGCGTTGGCAAAGCTGGCTTGGATTGAATGGTCTGCAGGGTAAGTGCTCTGCTCCATGCGGCGCAGAATTCCCCAAGGAACGCCTAGAATTTGTAACACAGGAGTTGAAACTTGCTCTGCCGCTGCCCATGCAAGAAACCTTCAGCCTCAAAGACTCCTGTGTGGCACCTTTCATCAGCTCTGCTTATGTAAAACTTGGGGGATGTTTGAGACTACGTGTTGAGGATGGTCAGCTCCCCAGGGCCAGGAGTTTTGATGGCAAGCCCTTGCTTTAAGCAGTTTTGCTGAGTCTTTGTGGTTCTTATTGTTGATTCTTCTTGGAAATCCCGCTCTGTGAGATGGCCACAGATGTGAGGAATGTAGTTTAAGCCAGAGAGGAAGGCACTTAGCAGTCAGGCCTTGAGAGAACCGTGTTTTGTAAGTCTGTATAGAACCATAGAGCATCTTGCTAGCTGTCCTGTAGCCATTGGGCTCCTCCTCGGGATCACATGCTGCTCGTTTGGTACATCGTGAGTCTCACCCTTCTGCTCCCTTCTCACCCCAGGTTCCTCAGCAGCCTCCGTTCTCGCCTCAAGCTGCTGCATCCCAGTCCTAACTGCACCCTGCGAGAGGAGAACATCGTCCACGTGCACTTCAAGGAGGAGATCGGCATTGCCGAGCTCATCCCCCTTGTCACCACCTACATCATCCTCTTCGCTTACATCTACTTCTCCACACGTAGGTTTGTGGGGTGGAGCACCCCAAGGGCAGAGCAAGCTCAATAAGGTGCCTGCGTGCCCGTTGCTGGGCCATGTGGCAGGGATCAGGGTGGCTGCCTCAGTTGGGCTGAGTCCATAGCACTGCTGTCCCCTCTCCTTTAAGCAGGAAAGGTGATGTTGAAGTGTCACCATGACAGAGAGCTGTCATGTAGCAAAGCAACAGTCCTGTTTATTTGATTTCAGTTTAATTTCTTTTCAGCAAGTGCTGTATTACTCCTTGCGATACCTTCTCGGGTGGTTTCATGGTTCCTGCATGTTTGAGTGCAGAGTAACGACTTTCTCTCCCCTTTGGAGAGACTAGTTCATGCTCAGAAAGTTCAAGTACATGTTCTGACCTTGGGGTTTTAGCCCTTAGTAGCTGCTTTTAAGCTCCTTTCATTCATGCTGCAGTAGTGCTGTGTATGAAACCAGTCTGAGCTGCAAACCATGCATTATGCTGAGGCCCAGTCCTCCTACAGAACCTCTTTAGCAGCCTCTTTGTACCTTTAGTGTCAGGTACAAAGTGTCTGGGAGCTACATTTCACACATGGAGACTCAACAACATCATTTCTGGGCTGCAGGATAGAAAGCTACCTGCTGAAATAAGGGAGGATGAGGATCCCTTGCACTGGATTTGTTTTTATAGATATATATATGTGATTTTCTTTTGTTTGGTAATAGAGATTTGTGTTCTGTTTTTCAGGGAAGATTGACATGGTGAAGTCGAAATGGGGCTTGGCGCTGGCCGCCGTTGTGACAGTGCTCAGCTCTCTGCTCATGTCAGTTGGCCTGTGCACACTCTTTGGCTTGACACCTACTCTTAATGGAGGGTATGTTTTCCAGCACCCAACCTCTTCCCAAAGAAGAGCACACGGGGGCAAAACCATTTGCAAACAGCTGTTCATTGCCTGGTGTTGAGAATCCAGCATTTTCCAAACAAGCTGCCATGATGTTGTGCAAAGTTATTATCAGACCCCTCCTGAGCTGAAGTGTTTCACTGCTTGCCAAAAAATAGCCTTGACCTCGTCACGGGCTTTGGGGGCTGTGTTATTGCTTAGCCATTGCCCTGCACTGTGGGAGCTGAAAGAATTATTGGGATAACCGTTTATTCATAAACTTGATTTGTACCTTCGCCCCCGTCACTGAGGTTTGTCGGGTCTTCCCTTGACGGGGGTTGCTGTGTGTGTCACAGTCAGTGTTTGTGCTGTTTGATGTAGTTACTGTGTTAGTGGAAAATCCCTGAGCAAGCTGTAGTTAGCACCTATCCCCTACCAAATTCCTCACACTGTTCATTTCACAACACTTAAACTTGACTTCAGGATCTTTCTTTGGATTTGCAGACCCCTTTTCTGAATAGTTAAGGAAGCAGCCCCCATTTCTCTTCCTGTCTTCCTCCCTCCAGCTTTATATATGGAAATAAAAAATGTTTGACCAATGAGGGGGGCTCTTGAAAGCTGGTGATAATTTACCAGAAAGCAGAATTAGACTGAGGAATTTATCTACTAGGAGCCAAGCAGGTCTATGAACAATTGGATTCAGAAACTAAAATATTTGTTACTATTTTTATTACTGTGGTTTCTATGAGCCTTATTTATACCTCATGACTGTGTTATATTGTGATCTGTATAAATAAAACAGGGTTCACCTGGAGCAGACAGGTTTGGTATAAGAAAACAGACAATATTTGGATGCAGATGTCACACACTAGGCTAAATTAATCCAATCATTCCTTCCTACAGGCTGATAGAAAGAAAGGATTAATTCGGTTCTAATTTCTAAAAGCAGATTTCCTGCAGAATTTCTGTGCCTGAAAATGATTGCTCTGACAGTTGCCTTTGGAATAGACCTTTGTCTGATTCCCTAATATCTGCCAAGCACTTTTTTCTTTAGTCATCTTCTGCTGAA